TTTTTTTGAGTTGGAGTCTCACTCTGTCGCCCAGACTGGAGTGCAGTGGCTGCTCCGGCCACCGCAGCCTCTACCTACTGAGCTCCGGCGATCCTTCCGCCTTAGCCTTCCAAGTAGCCGGAATTACAGGCATGTGCTACCACGCCCAGCTGATTTTTTGATTTATTATAGAGATGAGGTCTCGCTGCCCAGGCAGGTCCCAAACCCGCAGGCTCAGGCAATTCACTCACCTCAGCCTCCCAAAGGCGCGGGATTACAGGCTGAGCCACTGAGCCCAGCTTGATTTGTGCTTTCACAAGGCAGACTTGTTGACAAGATGGTAAACGAAGTTTGCTTGTTTTTAGAATGAAGTGCCTAGATTAGAGTAGGAGCTTGAAAATATTTGTTGAATGAGCAGTGTCCAGAAGGTATTTCCCTAGCAGGAATCAAGCATACCATCTACTGAAAGTCCTACAACTGACCGGGCTTGGTGGCTCAGCCTATAATCCCACGCCTTTGGGAGGCTGAGGTGAGTGGATGGCCTGAGCCCGCGGGTACGAGACCCACCTGGGCAATTTGGTGAGATCTCATCTCTACAATAAATCAAAAAACGAGCTGGGCGTGGTAGCGCACACCTGTAGTTCCAGCTACTTGGAAGGCTGAGGTGGAAGGATCGCCGGAGCCCAGCAGGTCGAGGCTGTGGTGGCCGGGAGCAGCCACTGCACTCCAGTCTGGGCGACAGAGTGAGACTCCCACTCAAAAAAACAAAAAAAACAAACAACCAAAAAAAAAAGAAAGTCCCACAACTAAAAGATGCTAATAAACTTGGGAATGATAAGCCAGCTACCTACATGGCTTTAGTTTCTTGAGAGGATTGACTGTCATGGCCCATAACTGGGTCACAGGAGTGTCTCTTTCCTCTTTTTCTTTTCTCTCATACAGCTAATCCTCCTGACTTCCAGTTGATTGACTTTATTATCTCCCTACTGATTAAAAGGGTTGGTTGCTGTCTTATAACTCTTGACAGTCTGTTAGTTTAAACAGTGACTGCCTTCTCCTGGAATCCTAGCAATTGGAAAAACTCTTAAAAGTTATATTCTTCATTCTTCTATCCAATGCCTGTATCTCCTTAAAGAGTAATGATAGTGTATATTTATTAAGTGCTTGTTTATGCCTAGCATCATGCTAAATGTTTTCTTCATATATAAATGTGAATAAATGCATAGAGACATCACTAAGGGTTGTATGGCCAATAAGGGTAGAATAAGGATCAAGAACCCAAACTCCTTTTTTTTTGAATTGGAATCTCTGTCACCCAGTCTGGAGTGCAGTGGCATACTCAGAGCCACCGCAGCCTTGACTTGCTGGGTGCAGGCGATCTTTCCACCTCAGCCTTCCTAGTTGCTGGAACTACAGGCGTGCACCATCACGCCTGGCTAATTTTTTGACTTCTTCTTCTTCTTATTATTTTTGAGTTGGAGTCTCACTCAGTTGCCCAGACTGGAGTGCAGTGGCCGCTCCCGGCCACCACAGCCTCGCCTGCTGGGCTCCGGCGATCCTTCCGCCTCAGCCTTCCAAGTAGCCGGAATTAACAGGCATGCGCTACCACGCCCGGCTGATTTTTTGATTTATTGTAGAGATGAAGTCTCGCTGCCCAGGCGGGTCTCAAACCCGCGGGCTCAGGCAGTCCACTCACCTCAGCCTCCCAAAGGCACGGGATTACAGGCTGAGCCACTGAGCCCGGCTATTTTTTGACTTATTGTAGACACAAGGTCTCTCCATGTTGTCCAGGCTGGTTGCAAACTCCTGAGCTCAGGTGATCCTCTTGCCTCCACCTCCCAAAGTGCTGGGATGACAGGCGTGAACCACCATGCCCAGCTACCTGTTTATTTTAGATAGATCTAGTTATTAGAAAATTCATTTTGGTCCAAAATCTGTTACCTGAAACAAGTCAGCCTTAGATTTGCTTAAAATGCTTTGCCAACATAGTGACTTTCCTCTAGGTATGTCAGTTTACTTGTAACCCAGTGTGAAGGTGTCACTTTGAAATGGACAGAGTATTCCATTCATGGTTTATAGCAGTGCTGGACTGTTACTTCCTGGACACCACAGAATTAGCTCTTCTGGTAGCCATAGCACACTTCTAGCTCATATAGAGCAAATAAGTCAGCTTTTTTTTTTAATGCTTGCTACTATTTAAATTCTTCTTTCTCATATTTTACAGTTGACTTTTTGAACCAGAGGGTAAGATGTGTTACTCATGATTGTCCTATAGCTGTGGCATTGTACATTGCTGTTCTTAGGCTAACAGTCCAGTAGCTGAAATGTTTTTAGTTACTCATTGAGTCAATCAATGGTGACTGAGTACTTATTGTGTGGCATGATGCTAGACATTAAGAAAATGTAGAAAGCAAACTAGAGACCAGATGCAGTGGAATCTCAGCATTTTGGGAGACCGAGGTGGGAGAACTGCTTGAGCCCAGGAGTTCAAGAGCAGCCTATGCAACATAGCAAGACCTCGGCTCTACAAAAAATAAAAAAGTTATCCGGGTATGGTATTGCATGCCTGTAGACCCAGCTACACAGGCGGCTGAGACAGAAAGACTGCCTGAGTCCAGGAGCTTGAGGCTTTAGTGAGCCGTGATCATGCCACTGCACTGTAGCCTGGGTAACAAAGTGAGACTTCGGCTCAAAAAAAAAGAAAACAAACTAGATGTGATTCTCTTTATGGAACTTAAAGTCTTGGGAGGAAGACAGGTATTAAACATTAAATATGTTAATATTTAAATGAGTAAATGACTATGGCAGTTCTATGAAGAAAAAGAACTGGGTATTATAAGAAGGAATAGCAGGGGGACCGCTTTAGATTGTGTACCCTAGGAAGGCCTCTCCAGGGAAGTGTCAGTTGAGGCGTGATGAATGACAGAGTGAGGGTAGGGAAGAGCTTTCTAGGTAGAAGGAAAGCGTGAGTAAAGGCTTTTTTTTTCTTTTTTGAGTGGGAGTCTCACTCTGTCGCCCGGAGTGGAGTGCCGTGGCCGCTCCCGGCCACCGCAGCCTCGACCCGCTGGGCTCCGGCGATCCTTCCGCCTCAGCCTTCCGAGTAGCCGGAATTACAGGCTCGCGCTACCACGCTCGGCTGATTTTTGACTTATTGCAGAGATGAAGTCTCGCCTAGTTGCCCAGGCTGTTTTCAAACCCGTGGGCTCAGGCAGTCTACTCACCTCAGCCTCCCAAAGGCGCAGGATTACAGGCTGAGCCACTGAGCCCAGCTGAGTAAAGGCTTTAAGGTATGAAAGTGTCTAGTGTGCCTAAGGACCTGCCAGAAGGCCATTGTGTGTAAGCTACTCAAGATGAAAGGGCTGAAACACTGTGGGCTTTCCTGTTAGATGCATAGATAACAATACTTTTGTTTTTTAGAGAGAGGGTCTCTGTCACCTAGCCTGGAGTGCAGTGGCACGATCATGGCTCACAATAACCTTGGCCTCCTCAGCTCAGGTGATCCTCCCACTTCCTCAGCCTCCCAAGTAATTGGGACTACAGGTGCACATCACCATGCCTGGTTACTTTTTATTTTTATTTTTTTTAATTTTTACTTATTTATTTTTTTAAGTTGGAGTCTCACTCTGTCACCCAGACTGGAGTACAGTGGCAGGCTCACGGGCTCTGCTGGACTCTGGCAATAATTCCACCTCAGCCTTCCAAGTAGCCGGAACTACAGGCAAGCACTACCACGCCTAGCTAATTTTTGGTTTATTGTAGAGACGAGGTTTTGCCAAGTTACCTGGGCTGGTCTCGAACCCATGGACTCAGGCAGTCCACTCACCTCGGCCTCCCAAAGTGCTGGGATTACAGGCTGAGCCACTGAGCCCGGCCACTTTTTTATTTTTGTAGAGATGGGGTCTTGCTATGTTGCCCAGGCTGGTCTTGAACTCCTGGGCTCAAGCAGTACTCTCGCCTCAGCATCCCAAAGTGCTAGGATTACAGATGTTAGCCACCACACCTGGCCAACTACAGACATTTTAAAAGAAAGATGCAGGGAACTACTAATGTGATGATGATGATGCTAGCTATTGTATACTAACTTCTTTCTGTGTGCTAAGCATGTTTAAAGTTATTTACATGACTTATCTCAATCCTCAAAGCAATCCAAGGAGAACGACACTGTTTGTTATCCCCATTTTGATAGATGAAGAAACTGAGCACAGAGATGTTTAGAAATTAGCTGAGGTCACACTAGTAGTGACAGATTAAAAGTTGTCACCCAGGCAGCCCAGCTCAAGCTCTTCACCAGTAGCCCAAGAACCTAACAGAGAGTCCTGAAGTAGTTGGAGAGCTTGGGAAAGGCTTTTGTTGCTGTGGCCCTTTGGGAGAACCAGGAACCCTTTCCTAATGCTCTTGTGTAATGTAGGGAAACATCTTTACTGGGCCAGGCCTGATTTGGGGGCAGCTAACTCTGCAACCCTTAGAAGAGAATATGCAGCAGAGAGCCAGAGTTGGTCACCCCAGTTCATTGTTATCACTGTCAACCATGATGTAACTGCTTTAAAAATAACAAGTTGAGCTGGGTACACTCCTGTAGTATCAGCTACTCAGGAGTCTGAGGTGGGAGGATCACTTGGACTCAGGAGTTCCAGTCCTGCCTGGGCAACATAAGAAGACCCCATCTCTGAAAAATTAAAATAAATATAAAAACCCAGATATTTGTAGCATATGTGAGGAACAGTTGCACTTATTTTTTTTTGGTCCAACTGAGGTGTCATGACACAATTGCACTTTGGAAGGTACTTTTACATGTATCACACTATCATTTAAAAAAAAAAACTCACTTGGTTTGCATAAAATTTAGTAAGATAGATAAGGCAGGAATTATTAGCCTCACTTTACAGATGAGGGAAAAGCCTTAGACAGGTCCCAAGGTCACACAGTTAGTGAGTAGTAGAGAGACTTCTTATTCCAATGCAGTTCTCCTTCTGCCCCCTCTCCTCTCCTATTTGGTTCTAACATTTCCTTCATGTGACCAGGAGAAAGAGCACTCCTGGCACCAGCAGGAGCTGGCTAAGGCTCTGGAGAGCCTAGAGAAGGAAAAAACGGAGCTGGAAGTGAGGCTGAGGGAGCAGCAGACAGAAACTGAGGCCATCCGGGCACAAAGAGAAGAAGAACGGACCCAGGCCGAGAGCGCCCTATGCCAGGTTGAAAGCTGGGAGGATTGGAGCTACTTATACAACCTGTGATCCCCTTACCTTTGATCACTCCTTTTTCGCTCCCAAGAATGGTGCTGCAGAGGGGCTTCCAGAAGAGAATGTAGCTACCCTCCTTGCTACTAGTGTGCAAGGTGATCCGTACCATTGTAATGCTGCAGGACTGGCAGTATGTTGTACTTCCTGAAGGAGGACTGACATTTACCACATCCTGTCAGTTGCAGAATGTGGGCATCTTTGCACTTCCTGGTTCTAAATCAGTGGGCTCAGACCTTCCTGTGCTCTCAGCCCCCCACCTCATTTTCTGGAAGAGCCATAGAGCAGCTGTGATGTACTTGTGGCCTTGTGGGTGAGAATGATAACCCTTAGCTAACAAGCCCTTGAACTTCCTACCCCTCCACAGATGCAGCTGGAAACAGAGAAGGAGAGAGTATCCCTCCTGGAGACACTGCTGCAGACCCAGAAGGAGTTGGCCGATGCCAGTCAACAACTGGAACAGCTGAGGCAAGACATGAAGGTCCAGAAGTTGAAGGAACAGGTACGTAGGGTGGTCCTAAGGGGGTGAAGAAAAAGGAGCATTCATTTACCCACCTAACTATGAATAGTTCTCTGGCCCTGTGCTAGGTGCTAACACATGACAAGTATAAGAAGGTTGGCACAACAGTCAACACAGCAGACATAGTCCTTGTCCTCAAGAGACTTAACAATCTTGTGGTAGAGACAGATGAAAAATGAACAGACAAATGAAATTATTACTGTTTGTAATAACAGTTGTAAAAGAAAGAAAGAGGGTGGTATAATTGAGTGATTCAAAGGAGGTCACCTTCTGGACATGATCATTGGGGAAGACCTCACTGAGAAAGTGGCATTTGAAATGAGACTCGAAGGTTAAAAAGATCAACACAGCATAGGTCAACCTTGAAAACATTATGCTAAGTGAAAGAAGCCAGTCAACAGAGGCCACATGTTATGTGGTATGTGATTCCATTGATATGAAAATCCTGGCTGGGCATGGTGGCTCACACCTGTAATCTCAGCACTTTGGGAGGCTGAGGCAGGAGGATTGCTTGAGCTCAGGAGTTTGAGACCAGCCCATCTTGGGCAACATAGCAAGACCTCATCTCTATAAAAACAAAAAAATTAGCTGGGCATGGTGGCACATACCTGTAGTCCCAGCTGCTCATCAAGGGGTTGAGGCAGGAGGAAACCCCAGGAGGCTTAGGCAGCGGTGAGCCATGATCATGACACTGCACTCCAGCCTGGAAGAGTAAGAGTCTGACTCAAAAAGGGAGGGAGGGAGGGAGGAAGGAAGGAAAAAAAAATCCAGAATAGGCATTTTAGAAAGACAACAGATTTGTGGTGGGAGTAGGGTAGGGAATGGGGAGTGACTGAGAATGGGCATGGGATTTATTTTGGGGTTGATGAAAATGTGCTAAAATCGACTCTGGTGATAGTTGTACAACTCTGTAAATATGCTGAATGAATTGTATACTTTAAGTGGGTGAATAGGATGGTATGTGAATAATATCTCCGTAAAACCATTAAAAAAAAAAAAGGCCAGGCCCAGTTGCTTATGCCGATAATCCCAGCACTTTGGGAGGCTGAGGCGAGAGGATTGCCTGAGTCTTTGGGTTAGAGACTAGCCTAGGCAACTTGGCGAGTCCTCATCTAAACAATAAAGAAAAAAAAATTAGCCAGGCATGATGGTATGTGCCTATAGTTCCAGCTACTTGGAAGGCTAAGGTGGAAGGATCGCCTGAGCCCAGGAGGTCAAGGCTGCGGTGGCCAGGAGCACGCCACTGCCCGCCAGCCTGGGTAACAAAGTGAGACTCCAACTCAAAATAAATAAATAAATAAAATTTTTGAAAAAGAAAAGAAGCCAGCCATTTGAAGAACATTTTAGGCAGAGGAATAGCAGTCATAAGGGCCCTGGAACAGATAGAAAAGGTCTTAGGGCAAGTCAAGGACAGAAAGGAGGCAGTGTGGCTCCAACTTGATAAATCCAGGACTGAGTGGAGTGGTAGGCAAGAAAACTTTGTCAGCCATAATAGGAGCTTGGATTTTGTTCTAAGGGCAATGGGAAACTGTTGAATGGTGTTTAGAAAGCAGAAATAGGATATGATTTATATGTGTACCTATACATATATATGTATGCATTTTAAAGCACTTTAGCTGCTGAGTGGAGAATAGTGTTGTGTGTTTGTAGGGGATGGTGGCATCAAATGGAAGTAAGGGTACGGTCAGCAGGCCGTTACAGTGGTCTGGGTAAGGGACTATTACCAACTCATGAACCCTGACCAAGAAACCTGGGTGAGCCAGTACACGTTGTAGGGAGGAGAGGGGATAGGTGAGGAGTTGAAGTGGAAGCAACTTGGACTGCTGGCTTCTGCCTTAGCTTTTGCCTACCCAACAAAAAAAACCAATATTTATACAACACAGATTTTAAGTCCAAGACCCCAACGGAACCTTCCTTCTAGTCACTGGTGTCTTCTCTCTCTTCAGGAAACCACTGGGATGCTGCAGACCCGGCTCCAGGAGGCTCAGCGGGAGCTGGAGGAGGCAGCCCAGCAGCACAGAGATGACCTTGCCACACTTCATGAAGAGGGCAGCACCCTGCTGCAGGAAAAGATAGATCTACAGAAGCAGGTCCCCTCCTCTGCTCTACCCAGTCCCATAGTCCTTCCCTAGCACAGTCAGGCTCACCCACTCTCCTGCAGGACAGGGGCAACCTGAGCCCTGTGGTTTGGGCTTGGGAGAGTAGACAAGTAGGCCACAGTGCTGAGTGGAAAATCAGAGGGTGTCCAGAGTTGAGCATGTGCCACTCAGAGCTCTGGGATAGGAATCTCTTTAGTGGTAATGGTCACAGAGCTTAGATTTTCTTGGGCAGTTTCAATTGTTCTCTCTATCGTCACCATATATCCAATATATATATATATATATATATATATT